ATGGATGGATGGATGGATGGATGGATGGATGGATGGATGGATGGATGGATGGATGGATGGATGGGTGGATGGATGATGGATGGGTGGGTGGGTGGATGGATGGATGGCTGGATGGGTGGATGGATGGCTGGATGGATGGATGGATGGATGGATGGCTGGATGGATGGCTAGATGAATGGATGGATGGCTGGATGGATGGATGAATGGATGGATGACTAGATGGGTGGATGGATGGATGGATGGATGGATGGGTAGATGGATGGATGGATGGATGGATGGATTGGTGAATGGCTGGATGAATGGATGGCTGGCTGGATGGATGGATGGCTAAATGGATGGATGGCTAGATGGATGGATGGATGGATGGATGGGTGGGTGGGTGGATGGATGGATGGCTAGATGGATGAAAGGGTGGATGGATGGATGGATGGATGGATGAATGGATGAATGGATGGATGAATGGATGGATGGATGGATGGATGAATGGATGGATGGATGAATGGATGGACGGGTGGGCAGATGGATGAATGCTAAGGTGGTATCAGGCATCTTAATAGGATGCCTCTGGGGGGAGTTCTCCAGGTATGGCCTACTTTGAGGAGACCCAGAACTCCCTGGAGGATCTGGTATTCTCTCTATCCTGGGATCGCCCAGGAGAAGCTGGAGAGGAATGTCAAAAAAGAATCAAAGAAGGGCCTTGCTGTCTGCAGACGATTATAAAACATGTTAAGAACTGAAGAGGTGCACAACTAATGTTTAATCAGCCCCAGGATACAAAGAGTCCCTCCATTTGAACTCAAACAAGTATTTAGGTTCAAGTGTATTTCTGGTCTGAGCCCTGACCTTGTTCTGAAACCTCTGACAGAATTTCTGTAACTGTTTTTAATTGAAATGTTTAAGGTCACCATGTCTGAACTCAGAAACACTGAGCTAAGGGCACAGAGGGTGGGGGTACGGCAGGAACTGGGGAGGGGGTTACGGSTGTAATCTTGTTGTGGCAGCTGTCCCCGTCGCAGTCGTCAAAGACCTCAACCTTGATGTACAGGTCATGATTGTACCACTGTTTGTGCACAGAACACACACACACATTCGCAGAAATGCACACACATTCACAGAAGTACGAACATGCACACACACCCACACAGACGCACACCCACACACTTGGCTGGCACACTGCCCAGGGAATGGTCCATTGACGTCAGAGAGCAGGCTCTTGYCTCATCCCAGTCCCTGTTCTCCAAACAAACTCAAAACACTCAACCAGTCCTGCTGCACWGATTCTCACTCTCATTTTCTTTCATGTTTTGTTCTCTCTCTCTCGTTCTGCTTCTTTTTTTTCCAGACAAAATAGTTGCTGGGATGTGAACCATAAGGGGGACAGGCGCTAAATAAGCCCATTAAATCCACAGGAAAGACGGGGAGTGCATGTGATGGAAAGAGGAGGTGATTCTAGACACAAACACTTGACACGTGACTTGATGTATATCTCAAGTCTTACACACATGGGCTTGTGTAACAGGGACTGTGTATCACAGTACTGCTGTTTCAAGTGAAACAAAAAAGAAAACAGGCTAACTGCTCCAGGATACTTTTTTTTCTATTAGTTTCTAACATTTCAAGCAGCTTCAAATATTATCTTTGCAGAAAGAGCCTGACTTGACTAAAACATGATTAAGGAAGTAAAGAAAGGCTGCAGATGAGTCATGCTCAATAATGGGAAAAATATCCAAGGGGGCGGAGCTAGGAAGAGAAACAGAAACAACATACTGATGTGATATTTTTAAAAATAGCCCGCAACACCTGTACAACTCGCACTAACAGCTACGATTATAAAACCACAACAGCTCACATTACTAGATAAGCTCTGGCACTAAATACTGGCCTGAAAAATTATTTTGCAGAACATAGTAACCTATAACCTAAAATATATTTCTAAGCAACATGTGAGCACTTGGTAAAATCATAGGCAGGGTAAAGAAGACCTTTAATGGAAAAGATCTGCAATTTGAGCAACTTATCCCCCAGCCCAACCCAAATCCCCCAGAGAAAAAAAAACACCAAAATGAGATTTACTGCCATGTTCTCAAACCTAACGCTGCACCAGCTCAGGCATCCAGCAGCAAACCTGACCAACTCGCTAACATTTGTTGAGATAAAACCAGCTGATGCTTTGATTTGAAAAGAGATTTAGTGATTTTAAAAAAATGGGGAAACCAAGCACACTTGGGAGGGTACAGAAAACTGGAAAAACATCAGCAGCTTTTCTAGAGCTAAAGTTGTTTCTGACACAGAAAACAATCATATTCCAATGATATTTTACATATAAACTGTTGTCTAGATCAGG